GGCTATACACCAATATCACCCTAAACAATACCACCTCATGTATCATTTGTTCCAAAAAATTAGATTTTTAATGATTTTATGCATTTTATCATTTAATGGAGTTCAGTCACCAGATCTTCACCGTTCATCAGCCCTCCTCTTCCTGAGCAGTACCGGCATCTTTTTCTCGGATTATCACAGCGATTTCCGAAGAATCTTTCTCCTTTTTTGGGAAGAATTTTTCCTTCAAATTTCTACATAGCTTTCGCCTAGCTCCGCCTAGTTCCAAAGTCGCTCTCATGGATGCAGAGGCCACATCGACGTCTCTCCCTCAATCTCTGGTAATGAATCTCTCGGTGCAACCTAACCATTCCAAATCACCGGAGCCGCCGGATCCCCCAGATCCGTCCTCAACCCCGCGTCAAATCCAACATTCCTGACTCATTGTTCTTGCCTTCTGCCTTTGTCGTTCGTTTCTCCAGCGAGATGTTAGAGGAGTCCCTCGTTTCTCCCTATCGCGGCTAAGATATATCTCGTTTAACCAAAACAAAATTCCGACGACTGCCGCCGATATCTCCGGCTCACCGCTGCCTTGTTCTCCGCCGTCTTGCTTGTCGGTAAAGCACAACCGATGGTCATTGCCCCAGATTCATTCAACCACCCATTGTAGTGTGTTAATGAGTTTGGGCTCTTGTGGATCCTCAATGGGCCTTGTAGTGCCCAGTCCGTTGAGGCCCATTGTCTCTTTTCCAATTTCCTCCATATCGGCATGGAGAGATCCTTATCACCTTTTTTCCCTCTTGGGAAGAGACCGTTTTCACCATCCTCCTTTAATCGGGAGAGAACTTTGCCATCACGTCCCCTTTCGATGAATGTGGTTCCTGTTCGGTTGTCATACCGAAGATAATTCCCAACATACTCATTGTTTTGCTTTCTTGTATAGCTGTTTTCACGAGGCCAAAAGAAGCAACCGGTGGCCTACTTTCATAATTTTGGCCAACTTTCATAATTTTCCGTTTAAATATAATGAAGTGATGGTTGTAAAAAAAAACTATGTTGAGAAAATAGGAAGCATGATTTAGAATTTGAATTATACACTTTC